ATATATATATATATATATATATATATATATATATATATATATATATAAACATGTTTTACAATTTCTCATATCTTCTTCCTACTTTAATTATACATTCTACCAAAAATAACTTTTTACGCCCCTTCTCAAAAATCAACTTCCACACAAGAAGTAACTCTATTTGATTTAGTTAACTACCATAATTTTTAAGTAAATTTTTAATAAAATTTGATGAATTGTATAAAAATGTCAACAAACGTTGTGAATCTCATAAATAGCTAAAAATAATAGAAAATTCTATTTATACAGAATTCTGCCTATAGAAGAGTTCCATATACTCACATGGGAGTGAGCCCCACGTGAGTATAATAATCCAAAAAATAATCCACCCAATCCATGTTGTGTGTATTCTGTAAGGTATCTGTAAAAAATTGTTCTGTACATGTAGTAGAACTCAAAAATAATTGTTAATTTTAGTTTAAATTTTTATTTTTTTAAAACTAAAATGAGGGACTAAACTAAAAAGAGAACATAATTAAAGGCAAAATATTAACCTGTTGTTTTCTCCTTTAACATATTGATTACACTAAACCGTTGAGGAATAGCGGCCCCACCCCTTCCCGGATCAAAGCCAGTTCTTCTTTTCGAAGTAGGATCATATATTCTTCTTCGTCTTATATAAGAAACGCATAGGATCCTACACGTTAGGCGGATTCAGTTGATCGATTTTATTGTTTATGAATCAGTGATTTTGGCCTTATCATTATTGCGGATTCGATTGGATTCACCGGAAGGACCTTCTCGTATTTTAGCAATCGAATATTACTGGGAAAATGGAGGATATAGTCGTGGGATTACTGATGATGATGCTTCTTTTATGGTTAATTCCGCTTTATTTATGGAAACGCCGTGTCGATTCTCGCTCTCCCTATCTGCACGAAGAAGAAACTCAGGTCTAATTTCTTCTCTTCAGCCTTATATTTAAGCGCAGTTAAATAATTTGTAATATTTAAGCACAGTTAAATAATTTCTATGAATCAGTGATTTTGTCCTTATCATTATTGCGGATTCGATTGGATTCACCGGAAGGACCTTCTCGTATTTTAGCAATCGAATTTTATTTTATCTTATTTTATTTATTTATTTATTTATTTTTGCTCCATGCATATATCTAGTTTGTCTATGACTATGAGTAATTGAGTTGGCTCCTATTTTCTGAAGAGCAAACAATCTGGTACACTCTTTAATTAAACTTCATCCAGAAAAACTACGGGAGTCCACAAGATACTAGCAGTTCTTTACTTTTAAATCATTTGTTGATCAATGGGAGTGCTACTTATATAATTTTATGACTGTTTGCGAAGGCTTCAGAGTCTGCTCGCGAGTCAAGGCGAACGAAACAAGACCACTACGATGAGATTAGGAGGAAGAAGGATGAGGAGCATGAAGCTCGAGAGCGGATGCTGGTTGGTTGATCTAGATTTTTCATATAATTTATCTAGGAAGAAGAAGAAGCCAAAGCTGGAAAAGCTGAGAAAGAAGCAGCTGCTGCCTTAGAGTTTGACAAGTGGAAAGGTGAATTTTCAGTTGATAAATGAAAATGGTGTAAATTTTCGATAGAGAGGCAAGCTATTTATAGACTTATTCGTGGTCATTCGAACAATCATCACCTTTAAGACAAACCTCAAAAATCCGAACAGACATGCTGTTCTTAAAAGTCGCGTCTGTTAAGTCGGTTAACAATTGGTCGGTAAACAGACGACTGTTAAAAAACACAATACATCAAGGTAAATCTAGTGGGAATTTTGTTCTTTCTTCAAAAATTATATTTTCTACCTGCTTAGATGCCCTAGTGTGAAAATATTTGGCTTCTGAAGGTCTAGTTTATCTGTCCCATCAAAGAAATTGCGTTTCTCTTTAATATCTCTGTTGTACATAATTTATTAGTACAATTCTTTGAAGATGTGCTATAGAGATTTGGTTATGATCTTAATATTTTCCTTTTTATGCCAGAACCACAAATGCATTCCTTTGGAAGATATTGACGCTGAATTTAAGCTACGAACTCAGGTAGCTCCTATGTGCTTTTTTCTCACCCTTCTCTCAGTGTGTCTCCAATAGAGATAAGGTGATATCATTTGAGCAATGGAATTATTCTACCTTGTCAAAGATGAAGAAAAGGAAGATGTTCACATTTTTATTTATTTCAAAATCTTACCAATCTTACTCATCTTATTGTATTATCAAGCAAACACTTTCATAAATGTCTAATATTTTTGAATTTTAGATTTTTTACTACTATATTTATCTTTGGTAGCTTCCTTCTCATGCAATATGGATTTTGGTTGATGCAGGATTGTATCAATCGGATATAGTTCCCATATTAATTAAGAGGTGGGTCCTACTGAAATTTGGGCTCAAAGTTGACTTATTTCATAACCATTTTTTCAACAGTATTGCTTCGACTCCATCAGCTATTGCCAACTGGTACTCGTCCCAAGCCTAAGCATGCCAAATGTTTTGTTTCCTTCTCTGCTTGTTGTTCTGATTTGGCTATTCCTTGCAATAATTGTGCGTGTGGTTGTGATGAGGATGCACATGCACATTGCGATAAAAATGCAGCTCCATTGATGCTTCCTCCCGACGACATTCTTGTCCCTTTTGACAATAGAATGGAAAAAGGCAAAAGCTTGGCACACACTTAACAGCACAAGCAAAGGTCATCTACCAGCAAAATTGCCCTGTCCGGACAATTGTGGGATGAGCATCAACTGGCACGTTAACTCGGACTATAAAACAGGATGGACAGCACGGATAACTCTCTTCAATTGGGCGAGTTCTCATTTTCTGATTGATTCGCTGCTATCCAGATCAACAAGGCCTTCCCGGGAAATGAAAACGTCTACTCTTTCAAAAATCTGATTCTGTAAATGGAGTCAATGTGCATTTCAGACGATAAACAAGCAGAAGCAGAAGCAGTAGATGTGCCATGGTTGAGACACCTTTTATTCAGCATGAGTACAAAAAGGTTATCATTAAAAGTTGTATTTCTTATATGTATATGTCCTTGAATCTTTGTTGACAAGGTTCAAGGTTGGATTCTCAACCCTACCACATCTAAAATACTTAAATATATGTCGATAAGGAAGAATTGTCCAAGTTTTCTTGTCTTTCGTGATGTTTTATGACCTACTCGAAAATTTTAGACTGATTCAAAGAATACATCGTGATAGTGGCTTTGAAATTGTGTGGAAAGATTCGAGTCAAAATTTTAACCTTAATAACATAGTTCGATAAATGTTTAAAACCATGTTGACAAATAGTAATGATTAAAAACCCTTATCAACTATTTTTCGTGTTTAGCTACAACTATTTGGTGACAAGACATTACGAACTTATTATTCATTAATATGTAATGTCTTAGTCACATGCTTATGTATTTATTAAAAATCCTTATCAACTATTTATCGTATTTAGCCACAACTTATGTATATGTTGACAAATAGTAATGTCTTATTTATTAAATCTGGAGACAAGACATTACAAACCATAGAGAGGATATGTTGGGTATTTAGTACTAGAGAGTAATGTAAAATTTGCATTACATAGATGGCATAATTGGAATGCAATATTGACATGGTTGGATAGTAGCAAGGAATTATTCTAGTATTCGTCATTGAGAATTAATTTTGGGGGAAAGAAAGGTTTGAAAGAAAGGTGATATACAAAATTAAATAAGTCGTTTCCATCTTTGATGCTAATCAATACTATGAATTAAACTTGTCCTAAACAAAATCGGACAATACTTTCTATGCTGTCTTAAAACTAGATTGGAAGTCTTCGATCTCATCTTCTCAATTCCAATACCATACACATCTATCCTTATCTAAAGTGCACAACGCATTTTGTACGAGAGACGAGGGTAATGATGAGGAAGGGTTCATGTTCGAGAATTTTGAGGGTTTATAGATTCTCTCTTCCTAATTATCTTGAAAATCGATTACAATATACTGAATCAGAGTTTGAATGCACATTGAGAAATGTCTGAAAAGTAGGTGTGAGGATTGAGGTGTGGCTACTTCATATTTCCACCTAGAACTACCCAAAAAATGTTTTGGAACAATTTGAATCACTTTTGGGAGGATTCAAATGATAACAAGAAAACTGTATCAACAAACTGCAACAAGTTGAGCTTGTCGCCTGTCTTTATTTCTTTACATCTTTAATCAAGTGTTTCATTACATCTCTTTTGCAGTTTTGCATCTTACAGGTTTATCTTTATGGTGGCTGAACGATTGATGAATGCATTTCATTTCTTTATATTTCATATCAGTAATTAACGGTAGAAGTTTAAAAAGAACAGGTAAAAATATGTCGATTATAATATGGGAACAAGAACAAATCCTCAAACTGTTGCTTTTATTACTAACAACAAATCAAATATTGTACACACATTTTCCTTTTATATTCAACGATTACAGGATGCACGATTCAACATTACAAAGCTCTGTTATAAATTTTTATAGATAGATAGTATGCAAAGAATGAACGGTATTTTCACTTATAAAAATGGCATCCCCGGGTATAATATGCTCCCAAGAACGGTACAGATGTTTATTCAGATCATATCAGCATCAGAAATATACAACTGGCTTGTTAGTAAGGTTGCAGAATAAAATATCGCCGTTGCCTCATAATGCCATAAATTTAAGTACATCTTGGGAACACTTCCTCCATTGCTATGCATTTTTTGCCTGCAAGGATGTCAAACAGAACTGGGTGAGGGACGTAATGAGCTAAAACTCATCAATGTTGTAGCTGAAAAGATCATGCTCACATTTCGATGCATTTTACCAAAGACCTCAACATTTTTATCAACATAAAAATGGCTTACAAATTGACAGAAATATTGCCTAGAAATAGAGAATCATGTGAAAAGCGGTCAGAACGGAAAGAGCCACAACAAACATATAGCCAAAAAGCAACCGAAAAAAATTGTGGAAAGAAGTCTCTCTTTAGCACCTGAGGAGCGATCCGAGCACAAAAAATAACAAAAACTAAGCAATGGCACTAGAATGTTGAAGGCAGCGTTTTTACTATTTTACAGCATAAATAGGACAGATCTTCATGAATCTTCATGAATTCTCAAAGGAAGTACTATCATGGGTATCAAATTTATATATGTCAAGTTTATTTAATCATATTAT